GACAGCAGTAACAGCGTATGTCAAGGAGACAACAAGCACCTGCCATGCTCTTATTCTGTGAAAAAAATCCCTGAAGAAACTGACAGTGTGTTCTTGCATATTCCTCATGGTCCATCCTCCTGTTAGTGGATTCACACCTGTGCACAGCAACCGTTCTGAGCGTCAACCCTTCTTCAGCATCACTGAAACACTACCATGGTTATGCAGATTATATGCAAAAAATACAATACCATGGCTTGTTTTAATTTCAGAGAGTACACAAACACGTTCCACAGTCAAAACAAAGACTTTACACCACACTCAGTATATTCAGCCAGGTGCAATGTTATTCAAACAAACACCATATGCTGTGGCCTCATAGTGCCCTTTAAAAATAGAAAGAACTAAACTGAGAATGCTTATCTAGAGCAAAGACTTTCTATACTCCTTTCACAGAATATTCTTCTATATGGAGTTCAACTATAAAGCACAGATACTAGAGTGGAACAACTGAAGCAGTAGTTTTTCAAACAGTAAAATTATTGTTCAGTTATTGTTTGTCACAAAAAACATCAGAAGATTATGACTTGTTTCAAGGCAGAGATGGGGCAAGAGGGGGAAGGTAGAGAAATGCCCTAGGAGCAGCTCATCACTGAGACCCTACTAGAAACTAAATTGGCCATTATCTTCACTCAACTGAGAAATTTTACAGCTGACCTAGAACAGCAAAAAATGTTACCTTTAAATAAAAACAATTTAGGTAATTGCCTTTTTAAGATCAAGATACAATAAGAATTCAGAAAATGCAATTACTTGATGACACAACTGACTCGGCAAATAGCTAAGATAGGTTTAACTCAGTTTTTTTTTCAAAATCTTTTTATCTCTTTAGGAAATAAAGTGCAAGATTGGAGGGAATATAGATGCTTAACATCAATAATGGAATAAGACATAGGACAGAATGCTGCTTATATATAGTAAGAGATAGCAAATATTACATAATACCAAACAGTTATGAAAGCTTTATTATGTACTTTATTTGTCATTTATCACTATTCTGTTAGGTGAAACAGATCCTTTTCCTCAGTGATTAGAATAAGTAATGTACCCCAAATCAGAATCCCAGTTTTATCTGTGTCTCATGAACGCACATGGTTGCAAAACGCAAAGTTTATTGTAGCTGGGAGTTTTGGTAGCTCAAGATCAAAAGTCTGAACTAAAATCAGCAGCACGTGGGCTCTGAAGAATAGAGCAACAATGACAGCAAACTTGGCCAAGAAAAGAAACTTACCAAGTTAACTCAATTTCTTTCACTTTTTTAAAGCACGTCAGTTGTGCTTTCCAGCTTCTGTTTAGCCATCAGGATATGCATATGGCACAAGTGACTTTTCAGGAAGGATCTGAAGGACATGACAGTGGTGGCTTTAGAAACTAATTCAAGGGGTCATTCTCATGCTTGGGAAGCAGCAAGGAAAAACTGCCCTTTCAGATATCAACAAGGTGGTGAAAGCTGCTGTCACTGGCAGACCAGAAGGGATTAGGGAGAGTATAGGCAGTGAATTGCCAATTATTTAGTCTTGCTCTGAAAATAAAGAAAATATTACCTCAAATCCTTTCATGCTATCTCCAAGAGCTTCTACAATTCCAGAGCATTCAAACCCAGGAACAAGTGGCGTCTTAGGAGGGTTGTCGATATTCCCCTGTCGCACCATCAAATCAATAAAGTTCAAACCACTGTAAAACAAGGAAAAAATAAAACTAAGACTATTACCATAGATCAAAGCAGAGGAGGAACACTTGACCTGCATCAAGCGATGGGCAAGCCGGAAAACTTGAGGGCAGCATAAGAGGGACTCAGCAGACATTCACATTCTTCATGTGCGGAACAGACCGACTTCACGCTGTGCTGAGCAGGCCTTGGGCAGAGGAGTACACGTGCCAGGCAGCCACATCTGCCACCAGCCTCAGAGCTTACAAGGCTGGTTAGGAGTCCACAAAGGGCATTTAAAAATTCAGTGCAGTGAAACATCATGATTTCTGTGAATGCATTTCTAGCTGGCAAGTAAACCAGTTCAATTTAAGAAGAAAACACCAAACCTCACACGTTATAGATGTTCCGGGTCAAGAGCAGCCTGATGTAACTGTCCTAACCTCTGATGTGACTCCAAGAATGAATCTTGTGTTCATCCCAGGCAGGAGTCCAAACTCTGACAGGAACATATTAAATATCAGATAGGCTGTTGTTTTATAACTGTTCCTCCTGGATCCCTTTTGTCCAGTTTCGCAAAGGTTATTTAGGTCTTTGGAGCCCTCAGATTTGCTGCTGAGGAAAAAAAAAAAATACAGGTCTTCCCCTACAGTCTCAGTTTTGCAAAAATCTTGAAGCATCTTTGCTTTGTCTTTTCTATTCTATCCAGTTTTATTAAGTAAAATTCTGTGGCTTTCTAGGCAGCCACAAATAACCCCCAACCAACCAACCAAAAGAGGTACTGTTTAACTACTATGTGCGCGTACTGATTACTGGCACAAATGCCATACATAGTTAAAACTTCTAAAACTCCTAACTACCTAAAATATGCTTCAGCATCAATCCATTGTTCCAAAACACAGTCTTTTATTTACTGTTAGCAGAAACTGCTGCATACTAACTCCTCCAACTCTATGAAGCTATGCATACAGCCAGTCCTACTCATGTATATGATACCACCAAACGTTTAGATACATAAAATTGATGTGCACAAGTATTTGCAAGATGAAGCTTTAGTCAGGTACTTATCAAGAGGTGAACAGATTGAACAGACCCAACAAACAAAAAGACAGAGTAGAAACACAGCGTAAGCACAAAGACAAGACAGCATTCATAAGATGTAGGTCAGTGGGAGGGGAGGGAAAAGAAAGGAAATTCCACCAAATGTAAATACTTGTAATTGTAGTGGAGGGGTTAAGAGCAACTCGAACCCACAACTTTTAGTACTGTAAAAGCAAGACTGTAGATCATTTGTTTTTTGATTTTAATTTTTCTCTTGAATTTGTTAAGATAGATTGTCAAAGTTTTTTAAAAATAAAAAAAAACCCAACACGATCACACGCAAAGCTCATAACATCAACCATATGGAAGGTTAGGAGGCACAGTTAAGTTGGGAGAGTTGAAATTATTTTGGAAAGGCTATTTCTTATCCAGTGGCTAACACTACCTCCTACATTGCCACTGTAATGTTGATAATGAAAGAGAAAGTCCAAATAACAAAATGCCTGCAAGGCAGTCATCATCTGGGGGGGAATAGGAAGGAACAAACAACAAAAAAACTCCTCAGACCCCAAAAAACACAACATACATGGCAGCAACCACTGTCTGTGCACATTAACTTCAGTGATGACTTTTTAAATTAACCTTTCCACAAGCTGAGCATTTCACAAAAAGTTAACTTTTTCTACATTCCTCTAAGACAGGGCAGCTGGAGGCACAACTGTGATGCGGGAACCTGTGCAGGAACATGCACCATGACGTCCTAGCAAGTAGGCAACAAGCAGACAGATGGGTATGGCAAAGACCACAGCGATTTGATAAAGGCATATAATTACAAATGCCTTATAGCAGCTCTTTCTAGAAACATTCATTCTAACAAAATAGCTTACTAGATAATCTTTGAAAAGGCACATATTCATTTTTACATCTAATGACATAATACTAGCAATTCAGTTCTGTTCTAGTTCAATTTCTCTTCTGTCAATAAAAGGCAGCAATATTAAATAAAAGTTCATCTCTATGACAATGATCTTACAAGACTTGATACTAGAACTACATACTTGAACTAGGTGTGATAAGGAGAGAAAAAACACTACACCAGGTATGTAACACCTAAGTCACATGGTTTTGTGGTTTTAATTACTAGCTGAAACAGAGAGTGTTGATCAGCATTTCTAATAATTTCTGGTCACTTTCCAGACAGTTTCTTCTTCATTCACTTCATCTTTCACCTCCTACATGTTTACATGTTGTCACATCCCTGTTATTCTCCTAGATGCACTTGTTTCCACTCTTCTCCACCTTCAAATAAGGACAGAAATAAGTTGTTTTATTTTACCTGCCAAATTTGAACAAGCTTTATCAACAAAAATAAACTTAAAAGCAAAAATTCATTGTATGGTAAATTCAGCAATTTATTTATTTCCTTTTCTTTCCCCCTCTGAATTACCTGGAGGGCCCAAAGATGAATGGCTAGTTTAGTAACTACTTCTAAGACACCCAACCTTACCAAGCCTTTCATTGAGATTCAGCCTACAGCAGACACAGGAAAAGGGAAGTTTGGCTGCACAGACCACCACATACGTCTCAGAGAATAGGAACTCTTTTTTTTTAGTGTGGAAAGTCTTGCAGATAGAAAGCTGCATTCTGTACTTCTTTCACCATCAGACCAGCAATGGCCAACCCAGTTCTCCTCGCGTTGTACCATGCACTCAAGGATGCCCAGTACCTTTCATTGCAAAATACCCAATCATGCAGACCAATCTTCACACTTTGGTTTGGAAAGGTGTTGCTTTTGAGCTGTCTTCCTTATTTCACTGTAAGACTGCTCTGAAGTGAATTACTGAAGTTAATGAAATACAACAGAGTACACAAGAGGACCACTGAGTTTTACATTCTTCTATGATTTTATGAAAATCTCCTCTTGCCCTTGGCCAGCAAATAGGCCTTGGCCCTGACAGACTTAAAAAAAAGAAAGTGGAAAGGTTCAAAATTATCAGATCCCATGCTTTTTATCCAGAAACACCCACAGTATATGAACAAGACTGTCTTTAGGAACAAAACTGATACACTGTCCACTATGCTTAGAATTTCTTTTATTTGCTACAAGTTTTTTAAAGTGCTGTTATCTCACAGTCACAGAGTCAGAAGGGTCACTTCTGTCTCATTCCTCATGACGCACATATATAGTGGCACAAGGAAGAAACAATGATAATGGAGAAAAAGAAAAAAAGGGAGGTAATTACAGGACATCATTCCTTATCCACGCACCATCTGAAATACTGCTTCAGTTTGTTGTAGCTACTTGTCTAATCTTTGAAACAATAAGTATACTGGTGTTCCACAGACTGCAAATTACAACACAAACAAATAATGCAATTTCAACTGCTCTAACATTATTAATCAAAAATTTTTTCAGGATATATGCAGAAGGTGTGACTCAGCTTGGACATCGATGGCTGTTCCATGTCTTAGTCACTGAATGAGGCTAACACATGAGTCATCTCAGCTGACACATTTTTCAATTGGATCATTGATATTCCAGACCTTCAAAAGAATTATTCATCTGGCTTAGTGCTAATAGCAACATATCCTCCATCTCCCCCATTTACAGTATCATACTACAAAATGTACGCATGTGGCTCAACTGGTTTCATGCCCCAGTGAATGCACAGACCACTTAGCTCTTGCACTTTTTACTGATATATACTATTTACCATGCATGCACACATTCTTCTTAAAATAAAAATCACTTTTCTCCACAAGTTGATGGAGAAAAAGAATCATCATCTATAATGATGATCAACTGCAAAAATGCATCAAATAAAACCACTATTTTTATCATCAATATGTCTCACAAGAGCAGCCCATCTTTGGCCTGTTCAGCACTGCACGCACTAACATGTGCAAGCTACACTGGGCAAAGCAAACAGACATTTTTCTCAGTCAGTCGCCCAGACTAGACCACAAGTCCATCATCATCCTGATCAATCTTCTGTATTTACAGACTCGGGCCAAGAGGATTGGCAAATTCATTTTTGCCTCGTTTGGAAGCACACTTCAGTGACCTGATCACATTTCAGCCAGCCCCATGGTCATTTTCAGCCAGGAATGACAAGCAGATGCTATACAGCCTACAGGTTCCTCTGGCACGAAGGGAAGTTTCCAAAGCACACATGGTATTGTGCAAGGGTAACAGAGCACTGCAACAGTTGAGCGGGTCTACTGATGTCAACCAGCAAGTGTGCAACTTGCAGAGCTCACTAGTGATAATGCAGCCCTGGAAAACAACTGTAGTCACAGAGCTGAGTATTTCTATTTTACAGCTAAGTGTTCTTCTGCAGGTAACTGGCAATTTGTGATATACACGTAACTACTGCTTTGATGAAAGTGTAATTCATACAGGTACTCGAGGATGCTGTGAACCCCTCAGGCACTTTACAGAATATGTCCACATGCTCATAAGATTTTAAGTTTTCCGTGTTACCTTTTGCTAACTCAACGGCTGAAAAAAAAATCACTCAGAAAACAATGCAGACTATTCTCAAATTGAGTAACAGCCCTGCTTGATAGCAAAATGAGCTACCCAGCAGCTACTACACTACCACTATTTATTATATTCACCTAGCATAGAATCCCTTGCAATTTCCCATTGCAACTAGTATAGAAAAAAAAAAAACAAAACCAAACGAAATGCAAAAAACATCTCAGCCCTTCATTTATTAATCCTCATTCAGACTGATGGGTATTTTCCACTTGGTGTAGGGCAGGGACATACTCACGTAAGTCACAAACCTTATGATCCCTATTAAGTACAGGAAGGAAAACCCTGCGTCTGAACAGGCCAAGACATTCAGCTGCATTAACCTACCAGGACGTTCCGAGATCTGAGGCACATCCACCGGATCCATCGTTCAAAACAAGCTCACTGCCACACACCAGTATAATTTTTAATGCAAAGTACTTCTAAAATAAACAACTTGGCCTTCACCTTGGAAATTATCTTCCAGAAGCACCATGTTTTCACACAACAGAAGAGGACAACAAAAGATAAATCCCTGCCTAGACAAAATTCATTTGTTCTTTGGTATGCACGGCCGTAGAAGAAGATCCTAGTGCTGATTCTGCCACCTAAAAAAATAATCCCATTTTC